GGGGGGGGGGCTCCTGCTGAGATTTAGAAAGTGGGTGGTGAAAAAGAAAAAGCGGAGCAGGCCTGAAGCCTCCTGACCTTTAGCAGAGGAACCAACGAGGATTCCAGCATCTGCTTGAAAACGTGGAACTTCCTTGGCTGGTTCCAAACGGGAAAAAAATTAAAGTCAAGTCTACACAGGGATCCCCACCATGAGGGTCTCTTCCCCCCCCCCCACACACAACGTCTGTTCCCATGTATGGAGGACCTCAGCTATAATTTGACAGGGGTGACCATATTAAAACCATGGCATCCAAGCCTTAGATCTAATGTTCTTATGACATAGAGATGTCATAAAATGACAGATCCTCCATTTAATTGTTCTACTGGTGGATATGGGTATGAGTGCCATGTAAAAACCATGAGAGGCGCTGTGGCTTGGATCTGTGTACCCCGGGCTTTTTTTGTAGAAAAAGCCAGCAGAAACTCATTAGCATAATAGCCCACACCCAACAGCAGAAATTGTTGTTGTTCAGTCGCACAGTCGAATCCGACTCTTCGTGACCCCATGGACCAGCTCCCGCCAGGCCCTCCTGTCTTCTGCTGTCCTCTGAAGTTGGCTCAATTTCATGTTCGTTGCGTCGATGACACTGTCCAACCATCTCATCCTTTGCCGTCCCCGTCTTCTTTGACCTTCAATCTTTCCCAGCATCAGGGTCTTCTCCAGTGAGTGCTCCCTTCTCATTTGGTGGCCAAAGTATTTGAGCTTCAGTTTCATTATCTGGCCTTCCAGGGAACAGTCAGGGTTGATTTCTTTTAGGATTGACTGATTTGATCTTCTTGCAGTCCAAGGGACTCTCAAGAGTCTTCTCCAGCACCATAGTTCAAAAGAATCTATTCTTCGGCGCTCGGCCTTCCTTATAGTCCAGCTCTCGCAGCCATACATGACAACTGGGAATACCATTGCTTTGACCATGCGGACTTTTGTTGGCAGGGAGATGTCTCTACTTTTTAGCACATTAGGCCACACCTATGACAGTGCAGCTCATTAGCATATTAGGTCACACCCCCATGCATTCCCTTGGCTTGCCTGGGCACCCTGCAACTCCAGGAAGCCCGGGCAAGCCCCCCCCTTGAAGGGAAGGGAAGGCAGTTTACTTACGGCTGCGGGGAGCCTGGGCAAGCCAGCCCTTGGACAGGCCAGGGAAGGCACAGGGAGGCATTTAAATGCCTCCCTGATCCTTCCAGGCCCCCCTGGCCCACTTGCCTCAGAGTTGCTGGGGGGGGGGTCGCTCTCCAGGCCTTCCTTCTGTAGCCATGCACTCAGAGGTTTTGGCTGTAGTGGACGTGGACAACTCTGAAGCCAGCCGGAACTCCATGTGTGTATCGATGTCTCAGCAATACAAAGAAATCACAGGATATATAATTTTTACAGTGCAGTCCATAAGGCATGTGAGTCATGATCTAAGAATGCATTTTGGGAAGAATCCGTGTGAACAAACTCGGTGAGGAACTGTGCCTCAGTGCCACGGTTTTTCTGCCATGAAGCCAACAGTGACATGAAGTGCTGACTCTGTGAATTTATGATGCAGGATATGTTATAGAGGTATCAATCTCAAGGTAGGGCCTAGAGTTCTAGAACTACAGCCGATGACCAGAATACAGAAATCAGCTCTGCTGGAGGAAATGGCAGCTGGCGGATTCTCCAGTACTCCATAGAGTCTAGGAGAAACAAAAATCCTAGAGTGACATCACATCCCCACTGAGCTGCCTCTCCAAACGCCACCTTCCCCAGGTACCCCTCAATCTTTAGGAATCTCCCAAGCCAGAGATGGGGGCTCTTGATATGCCCACTATAGCAGGAAGTGAGCATCCCTGCCCCTGAACCATGTTTTTGCATCACAAGAGCACTACCAAGTTCTAGAGCAAAGATCTTTACAATGTGATTAGACTATCATTCTGCCTGGCCTTCATACAAAAGATCTGAAGGGACCTGATTATATTCTGCTAGAATCATCATTTACTCAGATTCCTTGTGGTTGGTTGCACCTCACTTCAGATAACAATCAGATCCCTGAAGAAATCCTCAAGAAACTGAATCCAAAGCAGGTCCCTCAAGTGTTATCAGAGAAGGGTTTGGGGTTTTTTGTTATTTGAGTGAGGTTATAGTATTTCAGCCCCAGTCCAAAGTCACTGAAGTGTCAAAGTGAACTCTGAAGCCAGCTCCTAGTGGGCACTATACTTAAAAAAACAAAGAAAAAGCATTTTGACTATTAGTTCTGTAGTACCCCAAATTTTATGAATACATATTTAGGTAACTTTTCTTAGAACTGGCCAATGTAACTTGCCTCACACCAATTCAGCTCATTGGTCCATATAGCCCAAGAAAAGGGCAAATTCCCACAGGCAGTGGCCCTCCAATATCTCAGACTGAAACATTTCCCATCATTCCTGCCTGAGACCTTGACCTAGAACTGGCCAGATGCTACCACTGAATTATGGTCCTTCCCTTTAATTCATTTAATTAGAGAGAATACAGCCAATACTGACAACTACCAAAAATTAGTAATCTCTGCTTTACGTTCTCTGACTGAAAAATCATCCTCTTTTTGCCAGTTTGGTGCAGTGGTTAAGTGTGCGGACTCTAATCTGGGAGAACCAGGTTTGATTCCCCACTCCTCCACTTGCACCTGCTGATGTGACCTTGGGTCAGCCACAAGCTCTGGCTGGCACAGCTGTCCTTGAAAAAGAGCAGTTTCTGTCAGAGTTCTCTCAGCCCCACCCACCTCACAGGGTGTCTGTTGTGGGGAGGGGAAGGGAAAGGAGTTTGTAAGCCGCTCTGAGACTCCAAGTGAAGGGCGGGGTATAAATCCAATCTCTTCTTCTTCTTCTTTTGTAAGCAAAGTTTTGGCAGACTAATCAAAACTGCCCCCCCCAGCACTAATTAGAAACAAAACCTAAAAGAGAAGTATTGCCGGTGGGGTGGGCTTCCCTCTCTACTTGTAACATCTCATTAATTCATGAACTGAGGAGGAGAGATGGC